TTTGTAATGATATCTTTAATTCTCTAATTTTGATGAATATTTTTGTAATTTTTGGTAAAAAGTGATATTTTCGACTTCTTGTTGAAAACCGCAAGTCCAATTGCTTTGATATATTATACATATAGGTACTACATGTGGACCTCTCTCAGATTTGTTCATTTTCTAATGATATCTTCTGTTCTTTAATTGCCATGTGCATTGCTAACAGCGGAGCTATCTCAGCCGACAGGCTGCTTGTTATGTTTTTAGCTTGTTTTGGTGGCAGTTTTTCAAATATTTCCTAAGTGGGAATGCTTCAATTACTCGTGATTTACCATAACAAATATACGTCATTAAGCTTTCTTGTTTTGGTTCCAGGGAGATGATTTTAGTGTCTTTATGTCTGCTGTGATTGATGATAAGGTGAGTAATTATTTTAGCGAAATACTATTAACTTTTTCACCACCATTTCCCTATTGATTCTTCCTTTTGTCTCCCAGAATTTGTGTCTTCGACCAGATAATTTCACGAATTTTCCACTCGGTAAAAAAAAACCTATTTTGTATATCAAATATTGTGGCCAACAAAAACAAAACTTCTGCGCACATGACAAACCAAGTATGTTTTTTACAGCAATAATTTTAAAAGATCACAAAAATGGCCCTCTAGTGTTTCCTGGTTTACCGAAAACTGGTGGTGAAAAGGTTAAAGTGATTTTCCAATGATAATTGTATAGCAAAATGAAAATCAAAACTAGGAATTAAAATATCACATTACTTAACTCAGGTGGTTGATTCTCAAAATGTAGAATGTGTTTTAAAAAGACACTCGTGAGAACTGCGAGCATTGCATTCTGCTGTTCGTCGGTTGGAGTCTGCTGTAAAGTACTTTATTTTTCACTTGAAATTTAATTCAGCTGAAGGGGTGAATCAGAAAAATGCCTGTTTTTTATTATAAATAAACTTCATACAAAACAAATAAAATGCCTTTTTAGCAAGAATTTAAGCAAAAATATTTTACAGTACATCCTATACATTTTATTCAAATACAGTATTGGTGTAAGCTTGTGATCATAACTAATATGTACGATACCATCACATATTATGATTGAGGAGCCATACTATGGTTTTTATTTTATTTACTCACTGGGCTTTTATCAGCTTTCTAATTTTTGTGTTGAGCCATTCACACTCAATGTACATGTATGAACATTCTTGTGTTTTTTTATGTGAATATTGGCAAAAAAAACATTTTGTAATTTACATAATCGTAATTTGATCATACATGTGTATTTCTTTTTCAGTCATTTGCTAGAATAAAAGGTTACATAGATCATGCTAAAAGTTCTCCTAACTTGACGATACTTGCTGGAGGAAATTGCGATGACAGGTAAGTTGATATCTCGCTAAATTAGGCATACCAATCTGAATTGATATTCCGCTCAGTTAGGGATACTATTCCGCTCAGTTAGGGATACTATTCCGCTCAGTTAGGGATACTATTCCGCTCAGTTAGGGATACTATTCCGCTCAGTTAGGGATACTATTCCGCTCAGTTAGGGATACTATTCCGCTCAGTTAGGGATACTATTCCGCTCAGTTAGGGATACTATTCCGCTCAGTTAGGGATACTATTCCGCTCAGTTAGGGATACTATTCCGCTCAGTTAGGGATACTATTCCGCTCAGTTAGGGATACTATTCCGCTCAGTTAGGGATACTATTCCGCTCAGTTAGGGGTACTATTCCGCTCAGTTAGGGATACTATTCCGCTCAGTTAGGGATACTATTCCGCTCAGTTAGGGATACTATTCCGCTCAGTTAGGGATACTATTCCGCTCAGTTAGAGATACTATTCCGCTCAGTTAGGGGTACTATCCCACTCAGTTAGGGGTACTATCCCGCTCAGTTAGAGATACTATTCCGCTCAGTTAGGGATACTATTCCGCTCAGTTAGAGATACTATTCCACTCAGTTAGAGATACTATTCCACTCAGTTAGAGATACTATTCCACTCAGTTAGAGATACTATTCCACTCAGTTAGAGATACTATCCCGCTCAGTTAGAGATACTATCCCGCTCAGTTAGAGATACTATCCCGCTCAGTTAGAGATACTATCCCGCTCAGTTAGAGATACTATTCCGCTCAGTTAGAGATACTATTCCGCTCAGTTAGAGATACTATCCCGCTCAGTTAGGGGTACTATCCCGCTCAGTTAGGGGTACTATCCCGCTCAGTTAGGGGTATTATCCCGCTCAGTTAGGGGTACT